TCTGGCCAATGCCTAGTTCTTAGATTGGGTGGTGTCTAAACAGCAAACCAACTAGCAAATTGTGTTAGAAGAGTTTGCAGCTGGAGAACTTAATATTTCCTGAAAAAATAAGATGAACTGAAAAAATGCAAATGTTATTGTCAGTAAGGCACAATGACTGTGTTGTCATTGTAAGCTCTTTTTTTTTTTTTTTTAAGATGGAGTCTTACTCTGTAGCCCACGCTGGAGAGTGCAGTGGCACAATCTCAGCTCACAGCAACCACACCTCCAGGGTCCCGCATCAAGCAATTCTCCTATCCCAGCCTCCCAAGTAGCTGGGATTACAGGCAAGAGCCACCATGCCCGGCTAATTTTTGTATTTTTTTAGTAGAGATGGGGTTTCACCATGTTGGCCAGTCTGGTCTTGAACTCTTGACCTCGTAATCTGCCTGCCTTGGCCTCCCAAAGTGCTGGGATTACAGGCATGAGCCACTGCGCCCAGCCCATTATAAGCTCTTGCATCTTAAACTAGTCAGTTTATCTTCTATAATTAATTTCTATTTACCATAGTTTGCTTGCTAGAAACTTTTAAGCCACTATCTACAATTTTAGTTAGATAATATGTAATTTAATTTATTGGAGGGTAGCTAATTTGCATCCTCACATATACTGTTTCATTATTCCTCCCTTCCTCTAGCTCTTCTTACCTCCCTCCTTCTCATCTCCATTTCTGGTTCTCAGACTAAAAGCTCAATACATTTGACTTGGAGTTTTTGAATGTGGCAGCCAAGACTCCCCGAGGCACAGGGTGAAGCACGTGACATTAATTTCCTGTCACACAATTCTAACAAATACTTCTAAAGTCTGGGTTTATTTTTCTTCAGCTTCTTTTTTCCTTCTGAAATATCACTGGGGGAAAAAAAAGACATAAAACATCTGATCTTGTTCTTCACTTCCTTTTCTATTTCTAGCCACCTATTCTCTGTTTCTAATTAACCCCAACATAGTAAAAAGAGCCAAGATTCTCATTCTAATGGTTATAGGAAAAAAAAAGGTGTCATAAAAGAAAAGCCACATTTACTAGAATAAGGGAAACTCATGGCTGAAGCAAGATTTTTGCATTTCTCTAACCTATTTGTAGGTGAAGCAATGGTGACTCATATTCTCCTTTATCTGCTTCAAAAATTAATCAGAAGTTTTCACCTGTATTTTGTAGTTTAGGTGTGAGAAAGCCGAGACTTGTTCAGGTGAACTCAGAAAGGTCCTGATATGGGGTATTCAAACCCAGTGCCTCTAAAACAAGGGCTTTCTCAGCACAGGCTTGTAACTACAGAGCCTCAGAATGTTGGCAGGACTTTATTCATTACATATAGATGTGCGCAGGATTCAGGATGTTTATAAGCTTAAGGAGAATGTTGTCATGGCAAATGGTTGACCAACAGGAACAAAATCATCTGGGAACATCATGGGGCCCAACTGAAAAGAGCTTATTTTCACACTTCCTTGTTTTCTAGTGTTTGAAACCAAATGGAGGGAGTGGAAAACTGACCCCCTTAGAAGACTCACAGGCATTCAAAGGGAAGAGGAGGAGAGAGAAAACAAGAAGTTAGGTGATGGCAGAGATGAACTGAGTGTAAGATTTTAAAACTGCTAATTGGCCTAGCCATATGCTGCCTGGAAATTGGAGCAGCCTTTCTAATATTCACACTCTAGTGTGTTTTCTGCATTGTCTCTCATGCAGAGGGGCTAAGCTGACACCAAATGAGTGTCCCCTCAGCTGCTCCCCACTGTGCCGTAACTCTCACTGCAGCGAATCAACACAACATAGCAAAGGAGGCCAAGAGCAGAAAATTAATGGGAGCAGAGAGAGTAGGGGAAGAAAGAACAGACTGGAAAACAGTGACTTCCACAGTCACTTATTGAACCACACTTACTGAGTGTGCACTGGGCACATGGGGGACAATGGTGAGTGAGAACAAAGGGGGTCATCCCTTTGAGAGCAGTTGCTGTAGGGGACACAGGCTGCAACAACCTTGTGAGGGTGTGCCATTATTGTGCCTATTTAGAGGCTAAAAGGCTGACTTGTTCAAGGTCCCACAGTAAGTAGTAACAGGTCTGGGCATGACGTCTCACACCTGTAATCCCAGTGCTTTGGGAGGTGGAAGCAGAAGGATCACTTGAGGCCAGGAGTTTGAGACCAGCCTCGACAACATAGTGAGACCCCATCTCAACAAAATAAGTAAAAAAATAAAAAAATTAGCTGGGGGTAGTAGGATGCATCCGTAGTCAGAGCTACTCAGGAGGCTGAAGCGGGCGTTGAAGGCTGCAGTGAGCCATGATCATGCCACTGCACTCCAGCCTGGGGACAGAGTGAGGCACCGTCTTCGAAAAAATTTTAATAATTTAAAAAAATGTTTCTAGGTCACAATTTTTTAAGAAAATTATGTAAGTGGTAATGAGTCATACATACATGCACGACTAGATTTTATCTTTGATGAACTGAGTACAGAGTCATAAGAAAGTCCAAGTCTGATAAGTGAGAGACGGGGTGAGGGAGTGAGGCTGCAGGAGAGGCAGAGGCTGGTCACACAGGGCCCTGAGGCCCATAGTGAGAGGTCTGAACTTTCTTTCCAAATGCAATGGGAGACCAAGGAAGAGTTTTGTGCAGGTGCATGACAGACTGGATTTACATTTTTAAAGTTACTCCAGCTGCTGTTTGAGACAGTGGAGCAAATGGAAGCACAAACAGAAGTGAGGGGATATGTTTATGCATTTTCCATTTTGTGCAGAGAAGGAAATAATCTTTGGACTTTGTCTGGACATGAGCTCCTTGCTTTCCTTCCTTATCCTGAAGACCAAAGCTTCAGCAAGAAGGTGTCATGGAAGGGACTCTGGCCCAGGTTGTGGAGCACACAGATCTGAACCGGTGTGTGACTTCAAACAGTACCCTGAGCCTCCAGTTTTCCACTTGAAAAGTCTAGAATTGATGCTTCATCTTGGTTAGTCATTTCACGTCTTAAAATCTTACATGATACTAAAAAATTGTGAAAAATCTTAGTTATAACATTGTTCCTGAAGGTGAAAACAGCCTGCCATATGCAAGCCTGGTGACCTTGGACATTTAATTAATGTTTCTGAGTGACTATTTAGGAGAGGACAGAAATTGAGGATAGCTGGTGGAAGGCTTCCAGTTTCACACCACGCCTTGTACCCCACCCCCATCACAGCCTTGAAATTTCATCATTAGGAATTAGTTTACAACGTCTGTCTGCTTTTTATTGCTCCTTCTAATGCCTTCAGCCTGGTGTGAGAGCAAGAAAGACCCTGAGGGCTATGGAGCTGTTTTAAAGCACAACTATGACTTATCTACCCCTCAAAGTTTCTGCAGTTGGAATACACTATCTCACATAACTCCTGTAATTTTTCAAATGTACTGGATAAAGAGGCTGCTGTGATTAATAGGATTCAAATTCATCTAAAAGCATTACTAAATTCATAGCCTCTTCCTGTCATTGTGTCATGAAGGGATATGGGAAATATTTTGACATTACAAAGGAATCCCCTTCAAAAGGTTGGGAGCTGTTCTTTCAAGGAGAGTAGAAAGGATTTTACTTTATGGCAGAGGATAGTCTTCCTTTGTTTGGCCTCCTGAGATTCCCACTCTACTCTATCTTCACTTACTCCAGGGACTAAAAATTACTTTTGAGACATTATTTAAATTCCAGACTTGCACTTTCTGGTGACTTGTCACATCTGAGAATTTGATTCCTTCTTTGGCAGAAAAAATGGTGACTGTGAAGATGGTGCTGTTTATTTTAGGGAGGATGGTGGCATAGGGTGGGGGTGCTTTTTTGTTTGTTTTTGAGGATTCCTTTAATATCACTCATAATGCTCAGATAGTTTCCTTCCCCACTTCTTCCCAGGAAGGGAGAGTATGTGGCTCGTTTTGCTTGGGAACTCAGAATCTTTTGTTAACTATTTAAGAGATCTGGTAATATGGTCCAGTAATTCTTATCTGAATAAGGACAGGAAACTTCGGGACTCCATTTCTAGCTGCCTCAGAGCTCTCGGGAGGACGAATGAATAAATGGCCTAGTAAGCATTTTGTTGTCAGAAAGTGCTGTGGATGTACTAGTTACTCTAAGTATGTTTGATAAAATAAAACCAGTCCTTGTCTCATGAGTCAAGGATATTCCCTATCTACCTTCAATGATCTCTTTCTCCTCCTCCCTCCTCCCTTCTCTTTCCTCCCCTTCGCTTCCTCCCTCACCACCTTCACACACACACACACTCCAGGAACCAAGAGCCAAACAGTGTCTTGGTCCCCCAGGAGGCCACACTAGGACACAGCAGAGGCTATGGAAGGCTCTGCAGTGGGGAAGAAGGTATGTGAGCCTCTGGCTTCCAAAGTTTGCCTTGCGTTCTATTAGGGCCTTGGTGCTGTGACTTCCTTTAGCACATGAGATCACACAGTGTCTACTTTTGCTGTCCCCTATAAATACCAGACTCCTATATCTGAGAGTCCTGAGTTCAGGCCAGCCTAGTGGTTGGGTGGCTCTGGATTGCCTTTCCTGAACTTTCTATTTGTCAGCTGAAGAATGACTCGGTTCATACATTTGGAAAGGAGGGCTTATTTCTCATAGAGGGCCCCAGATTGCCAGGCAGCCATTCTCACCAGCTGGGCAGTGTAGCCAAGGATGAGGCCGGAAACAGACACTTCCGGGGAGGGGCACAAGGAACAGGAATTCTGGCTGAGCAGGCCAGATATCCATATTCGATAAGCTACAGGAGGAGGCATGAATATTTATGAAAAGAGAATCCTATGCATGCACAATTGAGATTCATACCTCTCCCTGGTTCCCGAGTTCAAAACACAGCCGAGTTAGCATGAACCCGGGATGGAGTTTTCAGCCCTCTGACATCAAAAGGTGAAGTAGAAGATACAAAAACCCTACTGCACAGCCTGCATAGACTCGTGGGAACCACTCCATGGTCTGTGGTCTCTTATCCCAAAGGAAGCCTTTTTTTTTTTTTTAATGTTCTCTTCAGAGTTTATTATAAACCAGTTTCAGAGGCCACAAGGAAATAAAAGGACTATGTACAGCCTTACGGGAAACAGGCAGGGAGCTGAGGAGGGCCAAGATGAGTCTAGGGCCTTGGTGGGCACATTCCTGGGAGAGGGGGACCTCGCATCCCAGGGGGAGGAGGCCACATTCCTGGATGAGGCATGCCCATTGGAGTCCCTCTTCCAGGAGGGATCCCCATTGCGGGACCCATAGGAGGCCTAATGCCAGGAGGTTGGCCCATCATGCCTGGAGGGGGTGCTCCTTGGCCTATAGGAGGGGGAGGACCATCATGGCCAGGTGGGTACTGGGTCGGGGCCCTGGCAACACTGGCTGTGGCAGCAACTGCAGTGGCTGCAACAATGCCCCTTCCTTGCGGGGTCATCACCTGTTGAGATGGCCCACCAACCCCATGACCTGGCCCAGCAAGTCCTGCAGGAGCCTGGGGCATGGGAACCCCAGCTGGGATTCCTCTGCCAGCAGCCCTGCCAATCCCTGGACCTCCGGCAGCTCCAGCAAGTGGTACTTGGGCAATACCAGTATCTTTGGGAGGAGGTCCCTCTCCTGTCATTGAGACCAGGTTCTCCCCTCGCAGCAACGCCAGACCAAGGACTCGCTTCTCTTCCTTTTCAGCTTGTTTGGAGTTCTTTGGCTTGATCTTCCTGAACTCATCACAGTCACAGAGGATCAAATTCATGTGCTTGTCAAAAGCCTTGAAGGTGCCAATGAAGATCTGGCCGTCCTGCAGGATGCACCGCATCCTGTAGTCAATATGCTGCAGCATCTTGCTGCTCTTGCCCACTGTCATGGTGGTGGTTCTGATGGCTCCATTCCCCACTGGATTCGCCTCCCGGAAGCCTTTCTTTGGGAGATTGAGGAGGATGGATTGCTTGAGCCCAGGAGTTCAAGACCAGCCTGGGCAATCATGGGATAGAAAGTGGGACAGGCCTTGTAATACCTCCTCCCTCGCCAACCCCATTAGACTTTCTTTCCTAAGGTTTAAACAGAATCCAGCCCTGTGGTGTGGCAAGACACAATCTCTACAAAAAATACAAAACATTAGCTGTGCATGGGGTGGGAGCCTGTAGTTCCAGCTAGTTGGGAGGTGGAGGCGGGAGAATAGCTTGAGTCTGGGAGGTCGAGGCTAAGTGAGCTAAGCTCGTGCCACTGGACTCTGGCTTAGGTGACAGGAGGAATGCTGGTTGGTTGTTTTGTTGAAACATAAAAGGGAGCGACAGCATCAGGTAACTGGTTGACATTAGTGTGGAGTCTCTTGAAAGGGCTGGTTTCTGTTTAACCCTTAGGGAATAAAGCCTAAAGGGGGTGGTGAGGGAGGAGACAGAACAAGGCATGTCCCCCCTCCCATCCCGTTAGGGCCCAGAACTCAGTTTCCCAGGTTACTCTGGGGTCCTCTTGGCCAGGAAGGGGCCTGCTGAGTCGGTTGGAGGGGTTTAGAAGTTCATTCTTATTTCTCATTTCATAAATTTTTCTGGAATTCCTACTGACTGCAGGAAGGGAGAAACTCTTGGGAGGAGTTTGATTTCTGAGTCTCTTGGGAGTGAAAGGAGGAAAACCTAAATTTCTGCTGAATTTTGCAGAAATCTATGTGGTGGTCAGAACAGCCTTTTAAGTCTCTCTGAACTCATAACACCGTCTTGATTGTTACCTCAGTGCTCAGGAAAAGGAAATATTTAAAGAGTCCAAGATGGTATTTTTACAAGCAGTCTCTGTGCCTCCACCTCCAGTGAAATGTCTTTTGTCAAATGTGTGTTTCCCTCGTCAAAACCACTTATTTTAGTCTATCCAAATTTGTTCAAATGTTTCTTTATGGTTGTGCTTTTTGTGTTCCATTTAAGAAATCTTTGTCCACTCTCAGGTCACAAAGATATTTTTCTAAAAGTTTGATTGCTTTTTTTTAAAAATATAAATTTATTTTTTAATTTTTATAGAGTTGGGGGTCTCACAATGTTACTTAGGCTGATCTTGAACTCCCAGCCTCAAGCCATCCTCCTGCCCCAGCCTCCCAAAGTGCTCAGCTTACAGTTGTGAGGCAGTTTTAAGTTCACAGCAAAACTAAGCAGAAGGTACAGAGATTTCTTATATGACCCCTTCCCCTACACACGCACAGCCTCCCCCTTGCTACACCCCTCACAGAGTGGTGCATTTGTTACAGTTGGTGAACCTAGGCTGATACATCATCATCACCCAAACTCCATAGTTCATATTAACGTTCACTCTTGGTGGTGTTGTACATTCTATGGGTTAGGACAAATGTGCAGAGACATGTACATCATTATAGTACTATCATACAGAATTGTTTCACTGTTCTAAAAATCCTCTATGCTCCAAATTATTTTACTTTTCAAAAATAGATATGAAATCCATTTGGAAATTTTTTGTGTATAGTGCGAAGCAGTCACTTTTATTATTTTCTATTTGAATAACTATTTGGCCCAGTCCTAAAGATGGAAAATGCTGTCCTTTTCCTGCTGTACAGCAGTGTAATGTTTTCTGTAAATCAGGTGTTCCATGTATGTGTGTGGTGGTTTCTGCACTCTTTAATGTATTGGTCAATTTTTGTATCCCTGTATTATTATCACACTTTCTTAATTAACATAGCTTTGTAACTGGTATTAATAGCTGGCAAATTAGGTCCTTCCTATTTCTTGCTTTGTTATTTTTTTCCTTCAAAATTACTTTTGCTTTTTCTTGGCCAAAATAACTCAGTAAGCATTTGGGTTTCTAGAGTAAAATTGTCTTTTCCTTTTCAAGTTTTATTGGCACCATTTTAATTGTTTCCCTAAGGAATTAAAATCCAGTAATACTGTATCGTTTAAATTATGTTCTAAAATAATTCAGCAGCTATGCAAGTAAAAGCTTTCCATGACCCTGTTTGTCAGCCACTTGTCTGCCCTGCCCTTCAAGGCCAGGGAAAAAATTCACTTCCTTTTCCCCTTGGCCTTTCCAAAGTCCATCTGTGTTTCGAGGCCTTCCCCCAATCTTGCATATTCTTGCCTTAATTATGTAACTCTCCTCAGACTTCTGTAGCTATGCTGAGTGGCACAGATATGAGGATATTCTCAGAAAAAGGCCCCAATACTTCCCCAGGACCCAGCTGTTCAGGCTGGCCTCCTTTCTTCAGGGATGTTGCTTGTCTTTCTTCCTGGTAGGCACCAGCCACTCAGACTGCCTTCGGCTCCTCTCTGGTCCTGTTCTTGTTACACAGATCAGGGACTCACCATTCAGGGTGGATCTTTTTGCCTAGAGTGTTCTTCCCTTCCTGCTCCGAGCACCTTCCTTTTATCAGTTAATGTTCATTAATCCTTAAGCCCCTGTTTGGCATCTTTCTCTAACCCCTAAACTAGATCAGTTTCCTTTGTGGTATTGTAATCATAACAGGTTGATTGCCCAACCTCCGCCTCCTGGGATCAGGCAATTCTCCTGCCTCAGCCTCCTGAGTAGCTGGGATTACAGGCACGCACCATCATGTCCAGCTAATTTTTTGTAATTTTAGTAGAGATGGGGTTTCACCATGTTGACCAGGATGGTCTTGATCTCTTGACCTGGTGATTCACCTGCCTTGGCCTCCCAAAGTGCTGAGATTACAGGCGTGAGCCACTGCGCCAGGTTTAATCCTAGAGTTGCCGACGAGGAGATGGGAGGAAACCTCCAATCTATCTACCCAAGGTGATTGGGGCTATGGATTTTAAGGGTTTGGAGTGAACTGAAGTGTGTGGAGATAGTTGACTGGTCGAAGAGTGCAGGGTGAAGTCATGGGACAGGAGGATAAAGATGTTGCATTCTCATACTGATCCTGTTCCTCTATGGGAGTTAGCATCAGCTGTTTTGCTAGAATTTGGATTCTGTAAAAGTTCTTAGGTGATCCTTAAACAAAACTCTCATGATTGTAATGTCAGCTATCCTGTCTATAGGAGCAATAGGGATGCACTGGCAGTGTCTAGTGTTGAGTGACTTTCAGCAACAAGGAAGTGGGCCAGAGGGCAGCCTGACTGATGCTTAATTATAACTATATTTCTGTCCAGTGCCTGGAATTCAATTCCTGTCAACACCGTGGGGATGGTTTCAGTATGCTCCCCATGCTCCCTTCAGAGCACATGTCCTAGTTCCCAGTTATAAGCCTATTTGATTAGCTGGTTAACATCTGACCCTTCTAGATTGTAAGCTTACATAGGGAAGGGGCTATAACTGTTCTGCTCAACGTTTTAGTCTCCAATACCTACCCTAGTGTTGGTCATGTAATAAATGCTCCATAATTCTTTTATGAATGAATGCATGTGTGAACGAAACATTGGCCTAGTGGCCTGTTACTTTCCATAGTACCATGCATGTAGTCATCCATAAATATCTTTCTGATTTATCTCATCTTGTTGTCTAGGACATTTTAATAAGGAACCCCATATAATTTCTTTTTTTTTTTTTTTTTTTTTTTGAGACGGAGTTTTCGCTCTTGTTACCCAGGCTGGAGTGCAATGGCGCGATCTCGGCTCACTGCAACCTCCGCCTCCTGGGTTCAGGCAATTCTCCTGCCTCAGCCTCCCGAGTAGCTGGGATTACAGGCACACACCACCATGCCCAGCTAATGTTTTGTATTTTTAGTAGAGACGGGGTTTCACCATGTTGACAAGGATGGTCTCAATCTCTTGACCTCGTGATCCACCCGCCTCGGCCTCCCAAAAGGCTGGGATTACAGGCGTGAGCCACCGCGCCTGGCCCCCCCATATAATTTCTAAGAGTAGATAGCTACATTCTGAAATGATGTGGCTGGCCATTATAGGTAGAATCAGGGGTGATTCTTAATTCTCTGTATCTGATTTGATAAGGGTGGTGGTGGTAATAGGCAGTATCATTCAAATATGATTCAGAAGTGTCCTATGCCTGCTGATAGCTGTCTTGCTTTCTGCATCTCAAACCTACCTAAAATACTTCTGATTTGGTTATGGTGTGTAGGGAAAAAGCATGCTCAGTGGGGCTAGCAGCAAGCTGGAAACTCAGGGGCTATGACATTTCATTGCTGGAAACTCATGTAACTTTAGCTTGCTTGGTAGCAAAGCAGGGCTCCTGGGTTTGCTTTATTTGCAGTTGGTGTAGATGAGTGAGATTTAACATCTGGTCCTTTATGAAAAATTCCTGTAGTTCCAGAGCTGGAAGAAAAAACTATCATTCTATTATTAAAGGGCCCAGAATTAGTTCTTGTTCTCTGTGTTCCATATGCTCATCATTGATAAATGATCATTTTGTCTTTGCAGTCTCCAGCAATCAGAAGGGGAGATAAAATATCTGCTCCCTGGTTACCAGCAGCAGCCCTGTGTATTAGAGTGTATTCAGGGAGTGGTGCTGGAGTCCCATCCTGCCCTGATAGGGACTTCTGTAATTTGCATATTTAGTGAGTCTGTAGGGAGAGATGGGAGAGATGCCAGTTTGATACAACCTCTGCTGCTCTGCGTGTACATTCTAGAAAAAAAATCACTAACCAGATTCTGTCTCAAAATGGAACACTGACCTTTTCCAAACCCGCCTCACTGGAATATAACAGAGCTGATGTAATAGAAGGAAATGACACTTAGGTTCTGGAGGGAAAATTGATGTAAGTTTTTATCAGGAGGGTCATCCAATGAGATATTGGTTAACCAGCTTCACTCAGGGAAACGAGGGCAATATTGTAAGAAAGTCAGAGGAGTAAGATGTAAGGAAGTTAGAGTCTGTAGAGAACCTGTGCAGTGGAGCTATCTACACACTGGAGTACCTCTGAACTGTTACTTACAAATGCTTCCTATGTGTTAGGGACCACACTGAGTGCTGAATATGCTGTCTATCAGTTAATTCTCCATCAATCATCCTAAATTAATGCCACTTGCCCATTTTACAGATGTGAAAAACAGCTTACATAGGTGAAGTATCTTGCCCAAGATTGCATGAATGCAAGTGGCAGAAAGGACTTGAAAGCTCTGAAGTGATTCAAAACACATATTCTTCATAGCTGTGCCCTTGTGACTCTTCATGTAGAAAAATTTCTATTCCTCTTGGCCACTTCAAAGTTTCCGTCTGTTGCACGTGATGCTTCCAAACTCCTCTGCTCACTTTGGTGTAGATTGATCATTTTATCCTGTTTTAAAAATATTGTTTATTGAATAGGTTTATCTTGTTCTGAATAGGTTTATCTTGCCTCGTTCACTAAACTGTAAATCCCTCAAGGGATGGATAAAAATGCTCAATAAATGATAATTATATGTCTAAATAGATAAAAACTGTCTGGTGTTCCAGAATTACTCAATATTATCTTTTGCCATATTTCCTCGTAGGTGTGTAGATTCTGTTGTTAATTAACCAAACTCAGTGGATGTCTTCCTTCCAATTTGAAATACATCTTCATGGTAGTGAGCATATTTGTGTTTAGGAAATATCCAAAAAGATGATTTTGAATAAGAAACCATGCCCATTTTGTTTACCACTATAAATATAAATAGGTGGAATTTAGGGTTTTCCAGATTGCACTTCAACCAAATGTTAGATTCATGATCATTCTGCCATGAATGAGTTAGTATTATGTCTGCTGCACAATTAAGAAAAATACGAAATAGCAGTTGCCTTAAACAAGGTATATATTTGTTTCTAACGTAAAAAGAGGCCTGGAGGTGAGCATCTGGGAACTGATATGGTAGCTTCTTGGTCATTGGATCCCAAGCTCTTTCTTTTTCTTCTGAAATCCCTGAAAACAGTTTGTGTTCTAATGGTTCTAATGGCTCTGTCCCTTGTAATAACTATCAAGCCAGAGTTGCAGGCAATAGGATGGGGAGAGGGCAAAAGGCCTTTATCTGACTTTACCCTTCTAAGTCCCTTTTCCAGAAATTTTACTAAATGAACTTCCACTTCCAACACAGAACTTAGCTATACCTAGTTATATAAGTACTCAAAAAATATTAAGACTTTGTTTTTAACTAAGAAAGAAAGTAAAGAATCAGTGCTGGGTAGACTGCCTTGACTTCTGAATTGAAAATTCCCACTATTCCAGATTGGGGGTTGACAAACTGGCCCACGGGCCAAATCTGGCCTGTGGCCTGTTTTGTTGTGAATAAAGTTTTATTGGAAGAAAGCCATATGCACTCATCTGTTGCTGATTTCATGCTACAACAGCAGAGTTGAGTAGTTGTTCCAGAATATGGCCCATGAGCTTAGACTCTCTTCTAGCTGGCTCTTTAAAAATAAAAGGTTTCTCAACCCCTGCTCTAGATCACAAAAAGCAGGTTCTGATAAAAACGTTTGCCAAGCCCTGCTCTAGATCACAGGGAGCAGATTCTAATAGCTTCACTAGGTGTGATGCTGTTATAGAAGCACAGTTGACCTCCATATGGATTCAGTGATCATCTATTCTCCAGCCCCAGTGAGGTTATATACACTAGGCATGTATTTGGCTGCAAGTAACATAAAACCTGAATAATTTTGGATTAAACAGAAAGGATTTAATTACATGAAAGCTCAGAAGTACAGGGCCCAGGGCTGGTGCAGATGCTCAGTGTTGCCTTCAAAACTGGGCTGCTTCTTTCTCCCCAGCCATGCCTAGAATGTTGGCTTTCATCTTCATGCTTACTGGAAGATGAACACGGTATCTGGAGGTGTTAGGTCTGCATTTCCTGAAGGAAGTGGGGAAAGTGCAAAAGGGCAAAGGTCTGTTCTTTTTTAGAAACTTTCCCAGAGGCCGTCATTGGCCAAAGCTGTCTCTAGAAGCTGAGGATCCTAGGATTCAAACAACTGTGGATGGAAAATATTGGGGAAAAAACCCAATAAAAGAAATAACAATACAGCAGTAAAAAAAAATACAATCTTAAAAATACAGTATAACAACTATTTACATTACATTTACATTATATTAGGTGTTAAAAGTAACTACAAATGACTTAAATGACTTATGGGAGGATGTATGTAGATTACATGCAAACACTAGGTCATTTTATGTCAAGGACTTTCGTATCCACAGGATGTCCTGAAACCAACCCTCCAGTTGTATGTGCTCTAGTGGGCTTCTCATAGTGAACCAGCCCACCCCAGTGTGTTCTCATAGTCTCACTCTTCCCTTCTATCTTTTTTCCCTACCCTTCCCTCTCACATTCCTGAAATTAATTTCTCTCCTTTTCCCCTCCTTTTCATGTTTTTGGCTAGGTGAGAAACCTGGAAACGAGCCTGAAGAGGTGAAGCTGCAGAATGCCAGCAAGCAGATTGTGCAGAATGCAATCCTGCAAGCCATGCGGCAAGTCTCCCAGGAGAGTCAGCACAGGGAAGAGAGAATCAGCGACAGCCGGGGCGGCATCCAGCTGGGTGTTGGGGAGTTAACCAAGAAGCACGAAAAGAAGTAACATGGTGCATTTGGCTTTTGACATGTGCTCAGTTTCTAGCCTTCCTCTTAGTATAGGACGCATCACCAAAATGTTGCCAATAAAGTAAACTGAAGTGTCATTGGCACCTAGATGTAGAATGAATTCACACTAGCCCCTGGCTGAGAAGCACTGTTTTGAAAAAGTGCATTAGATGATTCTATTCCTATTTATGCAGTGCCTCTGAAACATAGTGGGGCCAAATATGACACTGTAATTGCACAAGTAGTTTTGTAGGCCAATGGATTTTTAAAGTTCTTTTATTTGAAAAAGAGAATTCTCTATCTCATTTATTTACTTCTGCCTTTTATGTGTTCCTTCTGTGAATTTAACAAGCTGTCTTTTTGCTTAAATACTGAGTACATTACTGAGTTCTTTATATTAAAAAGGCATTCTGGAAAGGTGAGGGAATGGAGTTTTAGTTACTTTTGAATGTGAAATTGAAGGCTTTTGTAAAGTGGATTCAGGTCTAAGATCAAGTCAAGCAAAGGCAAATTCTAAGACTGAGTCCCTTGGGATCATACCAAGGACTATATTAATATTTATGTTATTTTAAGAAACGGAGGAATTTAGGCTTTTCAGTCTTTTAGTCTCAATTCTCTGAATAATTTAATAATTGGTGTTTATGCTCTGTGTAGAAATCTTTTGGGAATATGGATTTCTTTTCTCATCTTAAGATTCGATAAAATAAGACAAGTGAGTCTACATGTGTGAGTTGCCAATAACTCAATTCCTTAGAAGCTTCATGAAGAATGGCTAGAATTGTGTATTTCTTCAACAGCTGCCTATCTTTGAAAGACTTATACTTGGGACTGACTATGGGTGCAGCATCCTTGGGAGGAATTCTGAGGGCTTACAAATGCTGTTTTGCCACCAGACTATGTATTTGCATTAGGACCTTACTAACTTTCCCCATCCACAAATTAAAATTAGTTTTTTGGGATTATGAAAATCATTCAGGTCAGGAATACATGAGAATACAGTGGGCACAGTAAAGCGACAGTGTTGTGAATGCAGTGACAGATCTGTGTGTACCTTTGTAATAAAGGCATCTGTGCAGCAACAGGATCAATCACTGCTCCACTTCTGTGAGGATAATGCACATATTTCTGGAGTATCTACAGTCCCATTTCCTGTGCTTCACAAAATTTACTGAATTTGTGCTCTTGGGGACAGAGAAAGAATTTGACCATGGTTAAAAACCCTCTGGTTTCAGAGCATCAATATCTACATTTGATTTCTTTTTAAAGCAAAGTATTGGGGCATAAAGTGTGATTGATATTAAAATATACTTCTAAAATTCCAGTACACTACAGTTTCAAGAATAAATATTTAGATAATCGATAATGAATGAAAAAATATCTTATCAGCTTTGTTATGCTATCTCCCAAAGTGCACAGGTGGAATAGATTCACAGGGAACATGGATGGAGAAGGAAGTAGAAGAGCTTACAATTTAAAGATTGTTTACTCATAAGTATTTCTTTTAGCAGAATTGTGCCAAGTGAAGAATGAGTTTAAGTTGACCGAAAGTCATGTAACTGATGTGATATAATTGCACAGCATAGTGAGAATGAAGTTATTCAGGGAAATTATTCAGGAGTGCCACAAAAAAATAAATAAATAAATCGAATGCGTGTAGTTTGCAAGTGATCTACTACTATGTCTACTGAGATGTCTGGATATAACTGCCTTTGTTTTTGCTGTCATGGTGACAAAAAAATATAAACATGCTATTTTTCCTCTCTGGTGTGTCTGTGCTAACAAACTGGAATATTTGGAACATCTTATTGACCCCTGTATCTAAATGTCATTTATAAATAAAACATATACAGCTTTGAAATATTTTAAGCAAAGTTTTCTAGACTCTACTGTTTGGCTCTTTTTATACATGAATCTTACCATTATTTGGCACTATGAGATTTCCAAGGCTGTTTTAAACCCCTAGATACCATGATCAGGGGAAGTGTGTCTTTAATGGGCCCTTCTCTGTTACTGCATGAGGACAGCCATGGGATGGTGGGTCCTGAGGCTTGAAGGGAAAAGGATGTATGCTAAGAAGTGGCCTTTTGATTTCGAGAATTACAGGTAAGTGGTTGCCATGTTCTTTGAGATGGAACATCAACAGCAAGGAGAAGAGATATGGCTGAGTTGTTGGGAGGACAAATGGAAGTTCAGCAACTACTGTTCTCAATAGGTAGGTGCCATGTTGGCAAAATTCTAGGAAAGCTCAGTCATAAAAATAAATGAGTTAAAGATCTATAAACTCTTAAAGATCTATTTCCACTTGCTCATTATTATAAACCAGATCACAGCTTTTAGTTTCAGAAATGAGTGGGAACGTTTACTTAGTGTCTTTTATTTTCCTGATTTACTACATACACAGGACTCCCATCTCTGTGTATTCAGCTGTTGTCTTTCATGTTGCCTGCCCCTAGGGTGGAACTAAAGGAAGAAACACTTTCATGTTACTTTGCTTTGCTGTAATCATCTGTTCAGTGCAAACAGTATTGTAAACTGATGCAAAATGATTAACTGGTTCCCTTCATTTCTTTTCTTATTTCTTTTTTAGCTAGTTAGGTTTCTTAGCTAAAAAATGGTGGAATTTCAGGTTACAAAGAAATTAATCTATCATTTAAAAATAATCATTGAATTTATGCCATTCAGAGATGAGTTACTGGCCATTTTCAAAACTGTTTTAAGGTTTCTATGATAAAACAATGCAAAGAGAGGGACCTTTAATTTATCCACTGTAATAGCTTACTCTAGTAAAATACAACAAAAAATTAAATCTGCAAAAAACATGAAACTAGTTTAGCCTCTATAATATCAAAACAGATGCAGAGACAGGAAAGTGGAAATTATAATTTCTTTCTTGAGTATGTGAAAGTTTGCGAAAGATATTAGCACACATTCCCTCATTTATCCCATTGCCACAACTTCCAAATAAGGTGTAGCCTGAAAAGATCTTGATGTCTTTGGGTGTGTCCCACCCAAAATCTCACCTTAAATTTAATCCCCATAATCCCCACATGACAAGGTGGGACCAGATGAAGGTAATCAGGTCATGGAGACAGTTTCACCTATACTGTTCGCATGAACCTGAGTGAGTCTCCTGAGATCTGATGGTTTTATAAATGTCTGGCATTTCCCTTGCTTGTACTTGCTACATCTTGCTGCCCTGTGAAGAAGGTGACTACTTCTTCTTTGCTTTCCAAAATGATTGTAGGTTTCCCCAGCAATGTGGAACCATGAATCAATTAAACCTCTTTCCTTTATAAATTACCCAGTCTCTGGCAGTTCTTTATAGCAGTGTGAGAATGGACTAATACAAACCTTATTCTCCTTTACAGATAAAGTCACACTGAGACTAAGGGAGGATAAATATAACCTACATGGAGAAAGTGAGCACTATTGTTCACAAAAATACATGAAATCAGTCATCTCAAACTCCGTGAGCATCTGAACACAAAATTTAAGAATATAAATTCTAGGGATTTTAAGAATATACATTCTAGAAATATAAGTATTAAGATGTAAGAATGCAACTGCTTTAGAGAAAACATTTCTGAGTAAGAAATTTAACAAAAATAGTAAAGAGTCAGTTAAGATATTTAATAGAAAAAACTCAATGCCATTCAACTAAAACTAAGGAAAGAAATAAGAAATTTCAGAGGGAACAAAGTAGGAGACCACAGTAGGTTATGAGAAGTCCACCAATCTTTCCTCCATTCCTCAAAAGGCATATTAGAAAGTACACAAAGTCTTGAGCTAAGTGTGAGAAAAGTGAAGTGAGTGAATTTATACTTTGTCTTCTGGCTACAGGGTAGTGGAAATGGCTGTTGGGAAGAAACAGGTGAGACAGGAGATTAGATTCCTCTCAGATGAAAGTGGCAACTTTGGCCAGGCGCGGTGGCTCACACTTGTTATCCCAGCACTTTGGGAGGCTGAGGTGGGTGAATCACCTGAGGTTGGCAGCTGGAGACCAGCCTGACCAACATGGAGAAACCCCATCTCTACTAAAAATACAAAATTAGCCGGATGTGTGTGGCATGCCTGTAAATCCCATCTACTTGTGAGGCTGAGGCAGGAAAATCACTTGAACCAGGGAGGCTGCAGTGAGCCGAGATAGCACCATTGCACTCCAGCCTGGGCAACAAGAGTGAAACCCCATCTCAAAGATAAAAATTAAAAAAAAAATAAAAATAAAGTGGCAACTTTGCCTTACGGAAATTAAGAAAATGGAAGAAAATAAAGGAAGGAAGGAAGGAGGGAAGGAAGGAAAGACAGAAAATAAATACCTACATCATATTCTAGGAAAATAGATACAAAATGCTCAACAACAATACTTCCAGAATAGAAGAAAACTAATTAAGTTCTGGGCTGAGAGCAAGTCTTTTACAAAGGCAAATTTTCATGCTGGCATCAGATTACTTCATAGCAACATTCAATACTGTAACATAAGGGAGAAAAAGCTATATAGGAGCACTGAAGAAAGGAAAGTATGAGAGAAGGTTATTATTCCCAGCCAAGATGTCACCCAAGAATAAAGGCAAACATTAAAAAAACCAAAAAACAAAAAAAAAACCTTAAGTGTTACTAGTACTCAAGATCTCTCTGTGAAAAATCTGCCTGACCGTGAATTTCAGCCAACTAAAAAATGAATATAGATAAAAACTTTAGGAATGGAGAGGCTGCAACAAAAGCACTAGTGAAGAGCAGTGTCTTCACCTAAATATTAAAGTGAATAGTACATAATTGTGAAAATTATGGCCAAAAAGAAGTATATAAATTGTTATCTTGTGAGAGCATAAAATATAACTAACAAAAATCAGGCAGTAGGCAAGGAAAATGACATCATGCTAATGACCTTAACTGTCAGAGAGAAAGGTTGATTTATATGATCTCAAGTTGAATCATTTAGTTAATAAACTTCAAAAACGCCAATCTCTTATTAATGATTTTATAATTCCTCTTCTTAACCTTTGGGGAATGTTTTAGAAACTAATATAATACGGAGCTGTTTAAAGTTTAGCAATTTCTTTAGTTTCCACTTGATATTTTTTTCTTTCACTAAATTTAAGGGAAATAAAGTATTATATCAGTATCTTTTTTTTTTTTTTTTTTTTAAACAGTGTTGCCCAGGCTGGAGTGCAGTGTCTTGATCTCAGCTTACTGCAACCTCCACCTGCCAGATTCAAGTTCAAGCAATTCTCCTGAATCAGCTTCCTTAGTAGTTGGTACTATAGGCATGCACCACCACATCCAGCTAATTGTATTTTTGTAGTGACAGGGTTTACCATGTTGGCTAGGCTGGTTCTGATCTCCTGACCTCAAGTGATTCCCCCCACCTTGGCCTCCCAAAGGGCTGGGATTACAGGCATGAGCCACCGTGCCTGGCCTTTTATCTGTATATTTTTACTGTGTCCTTTTCCACTGAAATAATCCCTTGACATCATATGTGTCCCACTGTTAGCACATTCTTCTGCTGAAGCTGACCAGGAGGACTCCTGTTGCATGTGAAGACCTAGGGTGACTTTCTTAACTCAAAAAATTAATTCCTTTGATCATTTGACTTAGGCCACAGGTTGTACATAATCTAAGTCATAAGAGAATAAAAGAATAGCCTTATTCCTATAGTGTTCTTCAATTTTTAAAGCAAGTTACTATTCTTTCCTTAGCTGATTTCTACTTAATAAATTAACCAGTGCTTTCACAACATGCCTAACCCTTGTGTCTAAGAATTGATGCCCTTGCATGAATGCTCCACTAATTGAGTTAAATGTACAGCCAGTGTTGTTGCCGTCCATCCATATGCCTTCACCATGTGTCATTTCATTGTTCACAGATGACCTCTGGCTGCAAATAGCTGTAACTTTTGCCTGTGGGCCTTTTCTAGGTATATCTGTGGCTCAGCCTATACAAGCGGTTGACCAGAAGTACCAGGGAGCTAAGACTCCAGGAAAGCCAAGGCTCCAGGAAAGCCTTCCAACAATAATGGATGGGAGATGGCACACAAATACTCTGCCCTTCTCACCCTCCGGTGGGCCAATTCTGAGATGTGTCCCATGGTCTCCCACTTGTTGCCACCTGATGAAGTCCCAGGTGTGCAGCCCCTTTCTCATTTCTCTACCTTCCCATTGGTGGTTCCTAGGATGAACTGCCAAATGAGCTACTTCCACTCAAATTTTTGTCTCAGGATCTACTTCCCAGGGGATGAAAATTAAGACAATGGCATTACAGTGCTTCCTATCAAAGAAAACTGGGTAACTAATTATTTGTCTCTTGTTGTAGAAAACTTGGACCTGGCTATCCGAAGAGACAATCTGCCTCAGCCAGGTATTGAGCAGTAGCTGGTGTCTTTCAAAACAAATGCCAAAATAACTGACTATGAGCTGGTTAAGAAATCGTATGTGTTGTGTATTTTAATTTTGTTATGGCTATCTTGGCTGGCTTGTGGTTGATTTAATCTCAGTTCTATTTTCCAAGCTGGCTAATTTATAACCACTGAATCCACAGAAATATCACATGACTAGGTACTAGAGGCTGCTGTACTGAGGAAAAGTGGTACAGAGACATTTGCCAGGCCATATAACTTATAAACCTAAGGAACTGACATTTAAAACATGGGAGACAAATATCAAATCTAGTAATTTTATCAGCACCTTCCCTCCTGAAACTAGATATTTTGGCAAAAAGTCATCCCTTTAAATTTATATACTGCTTTGCTTATGTGTTATAATTAAGGGTTCACCTTTAAAATTGGGAGAAATAAATACATGTAGATCTAAAATTTGTTTCTAGTTTTACGAAATTCAAAGTTTATGGTAATATTTGAGAGTTCCAGAAAA